CGCTTGGTTGTCGGCATTTTCATCTATGAGTTTATTATAGAATTACATTTTAGTTTGATAGACAAGGTTATTTACTACATTGCATTGCTCAACATATTCAGCTTCTCTGCTATCGACTGATTTATTCTTTTTAGTTTTTATCTCGGTCGTGATACCATTGTGACGGCGGTCTTAAAGTAACAATTCATTTCTTACGTTCCGCGTGTTTTTCAATAATTGAAGACAATGTATTATCATAAAGAGCCAGAGGTTAAGCAACATTGTCAATATCGTCAAAATCTATTAAGGATAATTTCTTAATGTCTGCTTTAACACATTCTTTATCCACTGCTTTATTATTACGATATGAAATTTCTTTCTGCTGAGGAGGTGGTTTCTTAATAAACTTTACTGCAGCTGCATCATTTGGGGATTTAAAAAAGGGATATTAAAGTCACCAAGAATGATAATTGATTTGAAATTAATAATCTCTTGCTCCAAAAAATTGCTAAATTCTTACAGGGAAATGCTTGTTGTCATTCCGTTTCCAGCAGATGATGATGGTCTATATTTATAAAGCTATCGCTCTAATAGTAAAGGTTGAATAATTCATCGTATAATCCGCTAATTCAAATGATTTATAGGATGTGGACCTGGATGACTTGGTCTTCAGCTTCAAAGATTGTTTATATATATAGAATACCAATCCAACCTCCTCTTTTCTCGCGAGATTCATGCTGAAACAGATATCCTGTCGGACATATACTATTTATTGTGGAATGGTTAATCGCATAGATCGATCTGTATTTAACCATGTCTCATTAAGTGCCAGTATATCAATTAATATCGCTGTCCACAACGAAATCTTTAATAGTTAATGCTTTATTGTTCATTGATCTTGTGTTAAGTAAACAGACATCAATCATACAGGATTTGGAAATACGATTCATCGGTATACAGGAAATTCTGATTAAATTTGATCTCTTATAATTTAGTGGTTCCATTTCCAAGGTTTTGATGTAATTGGGGCATTCCTAAGTGGCGGGGGATTGGTGTTGTTCAGAGGTGCTAGAGGCTCCGCAAAGTTTAAATTCCCAGGTGGAGAAATATGGGGAAAATTCACGTAGGTAAAATAATATTGGTATCTGATCGGCATAGTAGATGAAGGGTTTTGATAATGCATTGAAGATTGATTGTGAAAAGGGAATATTTGATGGCAATCTTGATAAAACTGCAGGTGAGACTGTGTATTAATATGAGAAATGTCACATCTTAAATTTTTCAAACAGTAACCATATAAAGTTAGGTCATATTAAAAGTTAGGAAAATCATATTAATTAAGTTAGGTCTGAGTCTAAAGGAAATTGGCTGGAAACCACTGTGCACAATATGTACAAATGCTTAGAAAATATTTTTTGAATATAGTTTGAATTAAATATAATATTTCAAATACTTTAAAGCTGAACTCAAATCAGAATTTGCATTGTGACAATTTGAAGTATCTTTTGTAAGAAAAGTATTAAACAAGAAGGGTCAAGGGTATATTTCCTACTCCATCTAGCGCAATTAACTAACTAATTGGAATGAATTACCATCTGAATTCCAATCTAGTGGTGCGTCATGGCAAAATGTATCTGCTATACTCAAAGACATGAAAATAAATAAAGTGTGTGCTGCTAAATTTTTAGATGCAATGCATGGTCACTCATGCAGCCCTTTACAGGTCCATCAAATTCATGAACATAATACGAGAAACTCATCAAAGATTCATAAGCGGTATAAAAGAACAAATTATGTAAAACATACTCTCTCAAATAATGGAGCTGATGTGTGGAATTCACTAGAATTAAAAATTAAAAACATAAACTCTCATAGCGTTTTCAAGAGACATATTAAAAAACATTTTTTGCTAAATACAGCATAATGGTTCTGAAAATATTCTACTTTTTATGTATATTATCTAGGAACTCGTAGCATAAATGTATTGTGGTATTCTATCTTCTATTGGTATTATAATTAATTTTTACTTTATCTTTCTTCTTTCTGTAAATATTAGTACTCTAAAAATTATTTTGCTGATTTTGCTGATTTGATTGTACATATATGATTAATATAATTGAACTTTAACTAGGGGCCTAAATTGAAAAGCCTGTCAAGGTTTCTAGTAGGTCTCTAGCCCAAGTTACTATAGAAAACTTATTAACAGGTATAGATGAAACTGTACATAGGGGAAATAATAATTAATTAATGAGGAAGTATATAAATTATGATATCTACAATAACATTTTGCTGTTCTTAACAAATCTGCAATCTGTTCTTAACAAAGTTGCAAAAAGTATATATAGTGTTACGTGTAATGTTCTCATGTAAGTAAAATGTTTCATTGTTGTAATGATCTGTTTACTGTCATGTCATGTACTGTTGTAAATGTTGCAACTTGTAACCATAAATAGTCAAACCGGACACTATAATGTGACTAATCAGCGAGCAGTCTCAATTCATATAAATAGGTAAACACACTCTTGTATTCTTCAATTTGTAACTTGGTATCATGTTGTTCTTGTTGTCTCAACCTTGAGAGCAAGGGCGTCAATCCTGGGGGGGATGGGGGGGACGCGTCCCCCCAGTTTTTGGAGTGGGGGGGACGAATATCCAATTATCCCCCCCAATTTTTATCATGTTTAATGAAATTTTGTTTCTGGGTAATCTAAAAACCAAATGCCTGCTATGCTATTTATCCAGAATTGTGGTTGGAACGAAGACATTTAATAAGATGAAGTACAACGTATGACCTTTCTGTAGCCGCTGACATTAAAAAATATTCAAAATTGAATTCAAATTTGTATTGTAATTTTTATAAACATTTACATAAAGGCACTGTTGGTCGTATTCACTTCCTGTACTAACTGGCAAGCTGCACTGAATGAGACAATAATTTGTTTTGCTAATCGACATATAAATCGTAAGTTACTAATTTTAACGACAAAATAAATTAAACAAGACGCTTGACTGGAAAGTTTGTATCGCGCAACCTAGATGTAGCTTGCGCAATTTGCTAATTTCGGACAAAATAATTGAGCGCGCCAAATCTTGGGAAAAATTGGTCTAGGATGCGCAATATTTATTTGAATTTTGATATAGGTAATTGGAACCATATTGGTGTTCAATTCTGCGACTCTCGCTTTAGCTCGAGTAATAAGAATTAAGACTAGATAAATTTATTTTACCATTTTCAAAAGTTCAAATATGGTAAATATTATGCCTAAACATTCCATTTTTGTATTTTCCTGCCTGGCGCCAATTAAAAGTTGTAGACATAGCATTGCAATCTAACCAAATGATGTAGAGATAGACTTACAATCATTCCCAAATCAGTGGCAAATACCGGCAATTTATACAACGAACATGCCTCGAAAAAATGCTCCGAAACCTGCTAAACGTGCCAAACTATCAGGATCAGACGATTTTTTAAGGATCCACAGCAAGTTGAGCAAACCAGTACCTTAGCAAGTCACGCATCAACGGCATCGTCTGATTCTGGTAACGATCTACCTTCCACGCCATTGACGCCAATTGTAAATGAGCGGCAAAGTAACGTAATTCATGTCGACAATCCTCCAACTTCTTTGGCAGAGTTCGTAGAAAATGACGAAGCGGAAAGCCAAGGGATATCTTGTGCGGCTATATCTCGACCCTCGCTGCCCAATGAACAACCACCTTCCTCTGAAGCATCCGGCTCTAGCGATTTTCTCACAAGTAACAGATGCTCACCTGCAACAGTTTCGGCTTTGAGTCCATTGACTGCAAAATCGAACAATATCATGAATTTGGACAAGCCTAATCATCCAAAAGTGTCTGTTATCCCTGCTCAGAAATTATCAACGCGAACACTTTATTTTCAATCAAAGTGGTATGAAGATTACGAATGGATTCATTATGATCCCGATTTGAAAAAAATTCTGTGTTTCCACTGTTCAAAAGCTAGTGCCATGGGGATAAACGATTTAGCCCATTATAAAGATCCAGCATTCATTTCAGAAGGATTCAACAACTGGAAGAAGGCAATTGAAAAGTTTAAGTTGCATCAGACATCGCATACACACGTTTTGTCCGTCAATCAAATCGCAGCAGTGAAAAGGCCATCGGTAAGTGCGCAAATACACACGCAGAAACAAAAGGAACAAGCAATAGCAAGAACCTCCCTTTTGAAATTGTTTACTTCGATAAGATATTTGTTGCGACAAGGCTCAGCATTTCGTGGTCACAACGAAAATGATGGAAGTTATTCACAGCTCCTAAAGCTTAGAACGGAAGATGTTCCTGATCTGCCGATGTATTTGAGAAATACAACAAATTTTACTTCGCCTTGTGCGCAGAACGAGATGATAGAAATGTTCAGTCACCAAATTTTACGGAAGATTGTCAGTGATATTCAACAGAATGAATTTTACGCTGTAACTGCTGATGGAACACAGGACATAAGCGGTCAAGAGCAAGAGTCCTTCTGTCTGAGGCACGTAGACTCAGATTTATATGTACACGAAGATTTTATCGGTCTGTATGAAGTTCCCAGTACTACCGGTGACATTCTTGCTCGTACGCTCTTTGATGTCCTGGCTCGGAGTGGATTATCCATAAGTAATATGCGTGCTCAAACATACGATGGTGCCGCTAACATGAGTGGTTGTTACTCTGGATGCAAGGCCATAGTGCAAGAACGACAACCACTAGCACTTTTTTTCCACTGCGGATCACATGCTTCCAATCTTGTGATGCAACATGCTGTAACATCCTGTCAATTAATTCGAGATTCCCTGCAGTGGCTGAATGAGCTAGGTGTGCTTATGAAGAGATCTGGCAAGTACAAAGCGATATTCCTGGCAATTTGCGAATCAACCGAAGATGACAATCTGCATCCCACAGCGATCAAGCCCCTTTGTGCCACCAGGTGGTTATGCAGACTAGCAGCCATAGAGTCAGCATTGGATCGGTACCCTGCTATTCTCCAAAGTTTGGAAGAAATGGCACGTGGTGAAACGGACACTGCAACCAAAGCAAATGGTCTACTTGATCGGTTTCAGAAGGGAAAGGTCTTTCTTGGGTTGAAGATGGCAGCTAAGCCAGTCGCGATCCTGGAACAGTTGAATAGCGCACTTCAAGCAAAGTCAGCAAATGTCTCTGGGATGGTAGAAGCTGTTAAGACATCATCAAAACATATTAGCGCTCAGCGCACAGATGAGGCATTCCATGAGTTATTCTCTGCTGCTGAAGAAAAATGTGAAGAATACCAACTGGATCCACTGGAAGTGCCTCGGATACGAGTCCCCCCAAGAAGATACACAGGTGAAGCAGAGGAATATCGGCCTGACAGCTCTGAAGAATACTACAGGAAGCAGTATTTCAAGTTCATCGACGTCATAGTCACTGGTTTGTCAGACAGGTATGACCCTGACAAATCTGGTCTAGCACAGTACTTGAAGCTAGAGATGATGTTGACATCTGGGAAAGTTGATGAAGATGTGGTGTCAAAGTATCCTGAACTTGATAGTCTTACTTTGCCAATTCAGCTAGAAATGTTCAAGCAAACATACAAAGCGGAATCGTTGCATGAGGCAAAAGTTACTTATCGGAGCATGGAACATGCAGTGCGCTTATTGTTTCCCCAAGTGCTGGTTCTACTGAAACTTCTACTAGTGTGTCCAGTTTCGTCATGCGAGTGTGAACGCAGCTTTTCTGCATTGCGACGACTGAAAACGTGGCTCCGAACCACTATGACCCAGCGTAGACTTAACCATATTTCCATCTGCCATGTACACCAGGAACAGTTAGACAACGTCAATGTACATGAACTAGCAAAATTATTTGCTCAAAAGTCCGAAATTAGAAGAAATCTATTCGGAACCTTCGAATAGTTGTGGGAATGAAAACCTAATTGTAAAGGCAACAAACAGGCCCAAGTCGATGATCGCAACATTGTGCCTCATACACATTGATCATCTGTTATAAACTTACTATTCACATTAGCTTTCGTTTTTTATCGATCATTGTATGTACCGATTGATATAATTTTTACAGAAATCATTTCATTTTGCGATTGAAATGAAATGTTTATTGTTTTATTAAAAATAATACATATTCAAGCTCGCACTAATCCAGTTAATATAACATTAACTGATTAACAACTTCTGACGTGCTTTATCCCACTTGCACAACCTTGTTTTTAGCGGAGTTCTCATATGGCTGAAAATGGATTTAAGTTCATGCACATTGTACTTTACAAATGCCTCCAAAACGCTGGAAATGCCGTTTCAGTGTACCAAAATTATAAAAAAATTTCGGGTTTCTGGACCTTCCTAATTTGGAGTCCGTCCCCCCCACTTTTTGGGATGGATTGACGCCCTTGAATGAAAGGCAAAACTCCCTCACCGGAAAACTATGATAACAACGATGAAACCGAACTTTAAAGGTATCGAAAAATATGTAAACCAAAGGCGAAAACCGGGATATAACTCGGCGGATAGCTTTGTACGGCAAAAAATACAAATATTGTGTTTTGCATAATAAGCCTCGCTTCCATGTTATGCGAAGGCGCGGTTACTAAGTTTCGCAATTGGTCTATAGATATATGAAGCGCCCTGATTCAAATATAGAGGTATATCCGTGGCTAAAATGCCGTTTTCAACCACGGAAAACAACCATGGATTGCGCATGTCCATGCTCTCGGCATTGCGTCATATTTCGGGCCGAAATTTTCGGCTCAAGTAGAACAACATGGCGACGACGGTGGGTATTTCTGGTTGTTTTATGTCTAGTTCATTTGAATAAATTTGCATAAGCAGATAAGGCAAGGAGGGAAAATGAAAAACATATTGTATAATCGATTATACTGTCGCCAAATCGTTAATGTAACTCGACTAGGCTTTGTATTTAACTAAAAAGCGTTTGAATTTATGCTGTTTTAATATGCTGTTATACACAGAGTCACGAAGCTGGGGTTATGCCGACTGGCAGTGGAGATCTGCGAAATCGTAAAGGGAAGAAGGTAGTTATATTAATATCCATAGGCATCCCAAAAAGAATAAGCTTGTGCCATCAATGTTTATCATCCTATACAAATAATACTAATAATGATGATGATGATGATGATGATGATGATGATGATGATGATGATGATGATAATAGTAATAATACACATAGGTGGCGTATGAACCAAATCCCAAAAGAAGGACTCGCATTGACAGGGACTTCCAGAAGCGCATGAGTCGTTTGGTAATTATGATTACATTTCCAATATTGCATTGTAGCCCATGTCCTGTAGATAATATATATTAATATATATATATATATATATATATATATATATATATATATTATATATACATATACATATATATACATATATATATATATATATATATTTTTAAATTATCCATATTTTATATATTTTTTTTTTGGGGTAAAGGTTAAAGAATGGCATACTAGAACAAAGATACCAGTTCTACTTTTAACTTTCAAAAAAAATGCGGTGTGGTATGATTGTACGTTCAAACTTGTACAATGTACATTTTTTTATAAATTTTTGCCTTCATTGTTGACCTAATTGTTATCTTTCACCCAGGTATAAGCACTATATTGCATATACTGGTTTATTTGAAATGGATAATATACTTGTAAATCAGATAATAGAATCCTGTTTTAGCGCCTAGGTGTAATTATGTGGTATAGGTACAAATAACATGTTTAGCCATGGAATCATTTATTAAACACATTTTCCTCTAGTTATATGTTTCTTACATATATACAATAACTCATGTTGTAGGTTCAAAAGGCCTTGACAGATTTGCCAAAAGTCCAATTGTCCAGCAAGAATTTGTCAGACACTGCATTAATACAGTGAACAAAAACCAAGGTAATTAATACTGTACAGTATAATAAGGATACATTTTCAGTACCTTGATCACTAAAAGATTTAATATAAATATATAATTTGCATGAAAATTGCTTAAATTACTTGATGCTAATTGGTTGAGAGGAGTACAGTTAATTCACTGTGCCATGCCATTTAATTAGCCATTTTCCTGACATGTTCCACATTATTATAGCAATATGGTGTACCAAAACACATACAGACATAAACTAGGGACAAAATTCTGCTTTCATGCAGACACACAAATATTAATACATGAATATGTTTAATAACAATAATAAATAATATAATAATAATAATAATAACAATAATAAGGATCTATATAAATGGACCTTGCAACTGTGCCCATTACTTCCCTGTATAGGTGAATTAATCGTATTTAAATTTTCCATAAATTATCTTTCCTCTTTTTACATTTTCCATAAATTTGTCTCTCTTAGGATAGTATTAATTTGTATATATTAATTTGTTGTAAAAACTTTCCGTATAAAATTAATGAAATCTGTATGGCTATGTAAATTCATTTCGTGTAAGCCTGTCTTGTTTATCTTCACCTTACTGATTTAGAAAAAGCAGAAAAGCCACAGAAAAAAGATGTCGATTTCCCTGTTGGAGAAGAAACCAACTATGAGGAGTTCACTGTGCCTGCATTAAGGAAAATGGTGTCATTAGCCATTAAGTTGGATGGTGTGTCATATATTTATCCAGGTTTAATAATTCAACCTATTGGTATTCAAGTTATGTTGTCTTAATTTTATTAAGGACGGAAAACATCTAAGTGGAATGATCCAACCATGAAGCCATCATGGTGGCCAGAAGATGTTGCATACAGGAATGTGAACTGGGGAAAAGACAAGCCGCATTTTGATGAGTTAGTCAAAATAATGGAAGCATTTAATGATGATTATTGTTGCATCAGTAGTAGTAGTAGGAATATTCATAGAGTTGAAAGTGGTTCAGAGAGTGGTCAAAGTGATGGTGGTGGTAGTGATGATGATAATAGAGGAGGTGATGCTGGTGATGATAATAATTATGGTGATGATAGAAGAGGTAGTGATAATGGTGATGATAATTATGATGGTGATGATAGAAGAGGTAGTGATGATGGTGATGATAATTATGATGGTGATGATAGAAGAGGTAGTGATGGTGATGATAATTATGATGGTGATGATAGAAGAGGTAGTGATGATGGTGATGGTTGTGCTGACTTTAATAATGGTAGTCGAGGATTTGGTGTGGTGGTCCACTTGGCAACCAAGAGTGTGTGGAAGGAGGAGGTCCATCAGAAATTGCTGGTGCAAAGGAAGATGTTGACGTGATGGAAATTGGAATCCATAGTCCTCTTAGCTCAATACAAAGAAAAGAATTACAGATAAAAGCTATGGTTAGTGCCAAGAATGCAAACATGATATTGACAAACATTGGCTTGTGGATATGGTATTTGTCACCTTGTTACTAACAAACTTTTTTTTAAGCATGCTTCTACAAGTAAAGATCCCTCTAGCACATTGGGGCTACTAAACTGCCTGAAGACTCAATCGACTTGGGAAGGATTTTTGGATATATGTAACATAATCAGCCCACATCTGCGCCCCCTGGCAATTTGTCATATTGGATTTATCACAAAAGACGTTGTCCATAAATGGTTAGTAATTTATTTTTCATAACATTTTGTTAAAGTACGTATATTTTTTTCGACTTGCATTGACAATGTGTAAATCACTTCTTTGCCACTACTAAAGCGGGAGTCTGGGGTACGCGTACTGCATCCCGCGATACGCTCAGTTCTCATTAGACACCGCAGTATATGTAGCTATGTTATAAAATGTAATGATTTTATTGTAATTCAATTACTTTGGTTTTCTTCAGTACGGAATGGCATTAAAAACATTTAAGGTCAACTAGTTATACCTTAAATATTTACCTTTTGTAGTTTACGAAACCAAGTTCCGCAAGAATTACTCGATCAGCACTTGGAGCCGGGAAAAGTGAAAAGTGATGGCAATTGCCTCTTTCATGCTGTTGCAATGGCAATAACTCTGGGAGATTCTCTTAACCAGTCCTCAAACCTGGCTAATCTACTTCGCTTATATGCGACTGTGAACGGTGCCACAAAAATGAATGGATTCGTAGAAAGGGTATTGCAATAATATATATACATTATAACATGTCATGAGTAACATTTTTACCATTTATTTTTTTTACCACTGGCTGAACCTACCATTATTTAGCAAAGCATTTGAACATATAAAATGTAAACACTGCAGTGTTGATGTAAACATTGTGGCAATGTGCATGAATTTAACAGTTTTCATCCAGCTAAAGCTAGAAACCTCTCTATGTACGTGAATGCTCTTCAGGCAGTGGCATTGTTTCTTGCAGATGTGTAAGAAATTTTGCCAGCCTGGCCAGCTTCAAAATCTTGCTCACACTGTCACAACGGAGGACACTTTGCGAAAGGTTTCCATTCAGGAATTGTCTGATGAACGTACCTTCTTTAAAGTTGTATATATGGAGGAGGTAAAGGCCACTGCAATTGATGGAAATTATTCCGGTAAGCGTAATTTTGGAGTTCTTAAAATATTCGTGGGCAAGTCTTAACGTTTATTGTTCCAGGTATATTACAAGTAGCTTGGCTTGCAGATTCACTTGAGACGCGGATTTGCATGCATTGTCGCATCCCCGGTCATGATATATACGACCACAATGTAGGAGCTCGTCTTTGGGGCCGAGAAATCCATATTCTTTGGGTCGATTTGAGTGGAACGCAAGGGAATAGTGTGCCTGATACAGCTAACCACCTCGTGCCACTCATCAAAACACGAGACGACGGTAGGCTAAACATATGCGGCGTTCATCTGTATAAATATTGGACGTGTCAAATACGCGTTATTTAACTTCCATGGTCACGCATACATTCGACGAAGCGATATACATAAATGAACGTACATATACATGCGGTCATTTTATATTTTATAGAATTCAACTGTGAAAACACGTGCAATGCTTATAGATTCTGTCAACTTCAACGTGGCGGTGATGAGAATTTAATAAAGTGTTCGTACTGTTTGCAGTGTTTTCATCCTGAGTGTGTCTTAGGTTCTGTGGATCAGCAATGTCAGCGCGAGTGGAAGTCATGTGGATGCAATGTGGATTTCCTAGCAGTTAGGTTTGTGATATAAAATAATTTGTAGCTAACCGTGTACTGCATGCATGTGCATTCGATGTATTACCAATATAAGGCTATTACAATTTTGTGGCACTTCACTCGATGCAGAAATTCTGTATAAAGGTTCAAAAGGTTCTTAATTTCAAGTGGAATCATACAAAAGTCAAATTCAAGCCAGAAGCAGTTGAGAAAAACTATCGGTCCTCCGGCAGAAATCATACCTATATGTTTCACATTCATTTTTGAGGTGGGCAGTAAACATTTTTTCTCTTGCATGGTTAAATTTTGTTGTAGTCGACACATGTTTCAAGCCAACTTTCTGCAGTCGTGGTTGAAACAGCCTAAAGTTCAGATAATACTTGTAAGTATTCAACAGATAGTTTTTGGGAAACGTGTATATACATACATATATATATATATATATATATATATATATATTTATATATATATATATATATATATATATATATATGTATATGTATATGGATCAACGCGCTATATTTAGGGTGTTGTGAAACAAATCCTTCTTGGGCAGTACGCCTCGCAAAGATTTGATGTTTCAACAGGAACGAAACTCCCAATCGATCAAGAGGACAGTTTTTATCGTGGTTCGTTTGAAGAGGAAGGCGTGAGTATTTAGTAACTTTAAGCTATAGGCATCAGAGTTATCTTCACATTCAACATGCTTGTTGCTGCACACCGTATTTTTTATAATTAACACAGGTGGAGCAGTTGTCAATGCATTTATTAAAATATGTGCGGAAGGACACGGAACTCTCTTTGATGTATAAGAATGAGTCGTACATTTTTGAACGATTGGTGTATGATGTGTTGATACCTGAGGTATAGATTATACTCCATTTTTTTCTCAATTAGCTGTGATTGCAGTATGTTAAGGACAGAGGGGCCAGCCATACAAATGATGATGATAATTTAACATAAACCCAGAACCAGTCCGGTCCTATAATGTTATCGCATATGTCAAGCTCTATTTCCATATTTGTAATCATATTTATCAACATTTACTTTTAAGGCTTTAATCCTTATTATTCAAAACCATTTAAAAGTGAGTCGCTTTGTGGCCGAGTGGTTCTTTGAAAATTCTATTTCGTTGTGCCCGCTTTCGAATGTCTAGGTAGGTGTATATATAGCTATACATAAATAATATATATATTATTTGTAGCTTTTTTCACAAAAAATAAATGTGATTATCTTGTATTTTTCAGGTTTTTTCGCATATTATATACAGCTTATGGATTATGAATATTGGTTTCAATCGTTTTCCCTCAAAAGTATTGTTAAAATGCTGTAGCCAATACATAAATATATATATATATATATATATATATATATAAATATATATATATATATATATATATATATATATATACATATATACATATATACATATATACATATATACATATATACATATATACATATATACATATATACATATTATACAGTATATAATTATTATTTGTAATTGTACTGTATCCAGATTAGATATAAAAATAATTAATATATATTGTATATACAGTAACTATATCATTAATTTGTAAACATGCTTTTGTTACTGTTATATCATACTATGTAAACAATGGCCTCATGTACCAGTAATTGATTGCTACTATTAATGAAATTAAATAATACCACCTTCCTTTATCAGAGTAGAACGGTTTACCATGTGAATTGGTATGCTGGTTCGATTCCAGCGATGCTCTGGAAGGTATGAAATGCTCCAATCTTCGCACGCAAAGATTTGTTCATGTTTTGAAGGAACAGCTAAAACAATCTACCATGCATACTGTTATCGCTTTTGTGCTTAGTCATTTGTGCTTAGTCATTTGAATATTTTTGGGTCGTTATTTTTCTTTATGCTATTAAAGTTATTTTCAAATTCCCAGGAGCAGACAATATTGTGTACAAACGTCAATTCTTTTTCTAAAGGTCTCCTTTTCTAATGTATGCATGCACAATATCAATATTTCACGCACTACGACTATGACCATGACCTTCGACATGTCCCCTTTCTCTAGCAACACAAAGCATTTAGCATTTTATAAATTGCATTAAACCCCCACGGGCTGAAATTCGTGAACACGGCATTCAAATTTTAACAATGAGTGATTTCAATAGTTTTCGGTTTTTTGGGGACACCCTGTATATTATATGGTCTATGTAGATTTTGATATCCTTTGATAATTAACGACCAATCTTGCATTGATTGCATGGGTTTTGTTATTTTCAATTCAACCATGATAAAACGGTTCTTAAACAACCATGCATGGTCGAGCAACGTCTTTAGATAAATAAATATGAAACGGTTTCTTATATATATCAATGATGCAATATTACACAGTCTATATTATATAGTCTATATAGATTTTGATATCCTTTGATAATTAACGACCAATCTTACATTGATTGCATGGGTTTTGTTATTGTACAATTCAACCATAATAAAAAGGTTCTTAAACAACCATTCATGGTCGAGCAACGTCTTTAGTTAAATAAATATGAATTGGTTTCTTATATATACCTATGATGCAATATTACACAGCCTATATTATATAGTCTATAATAGTCTATACAGATCTTGATAGCTTTTGACAATTAACGACCAATCTTACATTGATTGCATGGGCTTTGTTATTGTACAATTCAACCATGATAAAATGGTTCTTAAACAACCATGCATGGTCGAGCAACTTCTTTAGATAAATAAATATGAAACGTTTCTTATATATATCAATGATGCAATATTACACAGTCTATATTATATAGTCTATATAGATTTTGATATCCTTTGATAATTAACGAGCAATCTTACATTGATTGCATGGGCTTTGTTATTGTACAATTCAACCATGATAAAATGGTTCTTAAACAACCATGCATGGTCGAGCAGATGCAATAATGTTCCAATGAATGCTACCAAACAACGTTATACGTCCGTAGGATATACCGGGTATATATAAATAGATGGCGTGCATTAAAACTGTTCGGTTTTTTATTTTAATAAATTATATCTAATGTGTTAAATTAAATAAAGATAAATTTATTATTATATAGGGTTTCATGCAGTTCATAATATAGCTAGCGTTCCGCTGCAATAGAGTCCCACTGGAATCGAACCAGCGTACTTTAGAGCAAACCATTGAACTCTGCATGTTACAACTGGATAAGTAGATCTATTTTAATTTTACTATACATTTGTTAGCAGACTGCATATAATCAGAAAGTCCCTCTGTCCCTGTGCCTTTGCATATTTCTTACATTGAGATTACATTGAGAATATTTGTGCAACTTCCCTTCCCATCATATATACTGAGAATATTTGTGCAACTTCCCTTCCCATCATATATACATATCATCTATAAATTAATATGGTTTCATTCATTTATGAATTTGTTGAATACAACACCTTACATATAAACATAATTTATACTGAAAAGCTTATATATATATATATTATATAATATATATATATATATTATATATATATATATATATATATTATATTATATATTGAAAGCTTTATCTTAAAATGATATAATTAGCAATTTCCTGGGAAACAATGCATAACAAATTAACTTAACATAAAACTTCTCTCTATCCTTAGTATTATGCATTTGTTGCGGCTATGTGTCAATTACACACTTGAAAAATTCCAATCCAATAAAATGGTGATTTCATGATGAAAAAATCTTAATATTTTGTATCAAGCCCGTTTAGCTTAAACGGCGGATAAGTCAAAATTAAATAACACTCTAACATCTCTCTAGAACGGGTCAACTTGAATATTATGCACTGAATATGTAGTTGAAAACAGTATCTTTGTATTAAGGTTAAAAACATTCAGTTTGCTTGTTGAATAAACGATAGACTTGGTTTCCATTTTGAACTTATCCACCGTTTAAGCTAAAGGGGTTGATACAACCGGCCCATGCTTTGGTAAATAAACCAGCCTGACCGTTCTAATCTAACGTCTATAAACTACTTATTAGGGAAACTTTAGAATGCCATCCACACAAGGCCGCCATAAATTGAAATTCACGTGCACTTTTAATGTACTTGTGATTGGGAGTTCTGTAGTTTCTCTACCAATCTTTCATTGTGAAAATGCAAAAAGAACTTGGTATGGTGCATAAAATTCTTGTCGTTCATGTATGACAAGGACGCCTGAATTCGCTTCAGGGAAGAATTCCGTTGTTCCGCCCCTTGGCTATTCAAGAAAGGGAAGTCCAAATCTGGATAAGATGCAAGATCGTAAGCTGGAGAGCAACCTACAAAACACAGCAAGTCAGATATATATATATATATATATATATTATATATTATATATATATATATATTATATTATATATATATATATATATATATATATATATATATATATATATATATATATATATATATATATAACCAACAAGTATTCCCACACTGCTCGGTAGCAAAGACATATAGGAAACAATTGTAACTACCACGGCCAGAAGTAAAACTAAAAGATTTTATTAAAAATATACTAAGCTTAAATTTTCGGCCACATGCCGCAGCCTTCTTCAGAAATTAACTAACTAATACAAATAAGTCCAATATATAAGGAGAAGAACATGCATAATACATAATACAAATTATAGCCTATTGTTGAGAAAAGTCATGAGTGCTATTCAAACCACCCAAATTAGTCAGTAACATTCCTATCCAAAAGTTCTCACACTTTCTTAAATCCTCTTTGTTTTGATCAATCAACATAAACTTCAATTTCAAATGCTTATTGTCATGCTTATCAATAAAATGGTTAACTACACCGCATGTTCTACGACCATGTTTAATGTGGGACTTGTAATTAGCTAAACGGGGCTTGAAATTAATAGTAGAACCAATGCCCTGCAGATTACAAGCCACACACTCAGCTAGGTAAATAACATGCTCAGAGGTACACGTCAAAGTCTTACGAATACTAAACTTTCTCCCCGTCACGGCTGACACAAACTCACCACCAGGTTTTAAGAAATGTTGACAACAATCACATCTCCTGGCAGTGCATTTAATACAACCTTGACCAACAGGCCCAATAATACGATAAGGGTTAGACGGGGCTAACAGCTCTTTCAAATTAGCACCCCTGGTATATGCTACTTGGATAGAATCCTTGGGAAGAATAGCGCTAGCACGCTCATCTGTGTCAATGATATCACGGTGTTTAGCCAAAATGCTGGCGATGTTGGGTGCGTGAGGATTGTATTTGGTTACAAATACACATTTCCCACCTCTAGATTTGGGTTTTTTATTTCGCGCTTCATGTCGAGTCATCGAACCCACTTCCTCAAATACCTGGTTAACATGAGTACTATTATGACCACAATCTATCAGATACTTAGCGTATATTTTACTAATAGCAAGAAAATCACTATCCTCAGAACAGATACGTCTTAACCTAAGAGCTACACCTTTAGCTATACCCCGTATCTGAGACTTAGGATGCGATGACTGAGCGCTAAGGTATAAATGGGCATCAGTGGGCTTACTATAGATAGAAGTAACCAGTTTCCTATTAACAATAGTAATAAATAGATCAAGAAAATGCAAACTACGCCCTCCAATTTCCATAGTAAATTGTAATTGCTGATCGAATGTGTTTAGGACACTGAAAAAAGCGTTAAGACGTTCCACAGAACCACGCCAAAGTACAAAAGTATCATCACGGAATCGAAACCAACACCTAAGTTCAGAAAATGTGGAACGCGCCGTCAAAACTTGCTTATATATATATATATATATATATATATATATATATATATATATATATATATATATATATATATATAACTCGCCAATGCAATCTGTCAACAAGAAATCTTGTTCTTTCAAAGAAACTTGGGTCCCGATTAAGGCAATACGTGTGAAGATTACAAGCGTTGTCGTAAACAACAATTGCTGGTGCTAATATCAATGAAATAAATGACAACATCAATATACTGGCTATATTGTTTACTGTACTAGCAGAATGCGTGCGGTATTATTCCTAGCCCTACACGGAAGTGGCCCCACCAAGATTAGACAAAATACTAAACATAAAACAATCAACATACCTTGGAGAAATCGGGATCGAAAGACGGTAAAAGGTATATTTGGGGACTCACATGACGTCATAATAGAGAACCCATATGTTATGCCTGCAAAACAAATACGAAGCGGTAAAGGAAATCCTTGTATAGACAGAAATCAAAAACTTTTTTGGTTAATGCAATGTTCATAAAGTAAGCGTTTACTCACTTTTACGGGGATAAACATTAATTCGTCCACATTTCCTGTGATACTATTGTGAACTAGCATAGGACATGCACAATCTGAGAAACAATCATCTTACATGCACATTTTATCACAATTACTGTCCATAATTTAATTATCTCTGTACACCTTACCATGCCGGCACTGAATAAGAAAAATACCAGGAAGGAGGGTTGGTTAACAATGCATGTTCTCTCATCATAGAAGTATTTATTTAGTGGCCTAAACTGAACAATACCTGCAAACCTTCGCATGGCTCTCAGTGTCTACGGTCTACCTATCTGAAATACTGCTTTACAAGTCAAAGACTATATAGGGCGCTGTTTATCTGATCTCGTGTATCGGGGACATCATACTCCCAAGACAACTATACCAAGCCAACCCTTTATATGATAAAATTGCAAACAAATAGCAAGCGATAGTGTCTTCTTAATCAATGCTCTATTCGCTATTGCGCACGCACCGGTAGGAAAAGTTAACCCTGGAGGCCGAGACAGTGTAATACGGTGGCCGATAAGGCTACATGGTTCTCCCTACCACTAGGGTTACTCTTTTTCGTAAACAGCGTGTCACACCCACGTTGACCCAACCAGCCGAGACGAGTTTAAAACTTCCTAATATAAACACTTGCGTTTCAGCTGCTACAACTGATTATGAACACAAATTTACCTGGATATCCGAGATAATATAAACAGCGCCTATATAAAGGCCTGATTCAACTACTCATGCCCTAGTTCGGGGCCTATTCATAATTCATATTAGAGCCTGGAAACTCGTCTGATGTGAATTCGGTCACAGATAAGTTTCTCGTCCTAAATTTCCAGCCTAAAGGCTCAACACACGGGTTGAAGGATCACTGATTCGCACGCTCGACTATCTTGTCTTCTGTTATCCTTTTGTAACTACCTCCTTGCATACCTTTGATTTCAAACATCGCCAACAATAATACACAACCTATTACTACACACGTACCTACATAGTTTCTTAACCCTATTTGTACCGGGGTTTTTTGATGTTGATATGACCGGGGGTTTGCTGATAGGGCACACCCCTCAGATATTCTGTCGATTACCTGAAATTATCCTTTTAGTTATATTTTTAGGAAGTTTTATCTCTCTTTAACCTAAAATAACAAAAAAGTTGAATTCACATCCAAATTGCTGCGTTTTGGCCCCATTCGATACGACCACCTATCGAAAAATGGCAAAAATCTCTAAATATTCTATAATTTTGGTTCTTTTCTATGAAGACACAAAATTAAACATTTTGGATGTGTTATTTTTTGTTTTTTTAAATTCAAACGACATAGTTTAATGTTATGGCATACCTCTGATGTCCATAAATACTACCATTTTTCTTTTTCATAAATCACCAACCCCCATTTTCCCCATTTTCGGCTCGACACCTTGTTTGACAAATGTCGTCAAACGCCCCGATAACTTTGAACTTTTCAAACAAAATTTTCACATTTGTGATATGGTAGAGGAAAAATATTAAAAGTCATAAAAGGGCAAGCGAATGGAATCACTTGTTTGCACGCACCCCCGTGCAAACCCCCGGTATAAATAGGGTTAAAGAGTTTCATCACACACGAATAAAACCCTTTCATTTTCATACGAACCGCATGGTTAGTGGTTGTCCAACAACCTACTAACTACCCCCTCTGTTTATTGGTTACGCCCCTAATTTACAAAAAAATTTTTACATAAGTTACTCATGACTTTCCCCTTTTTTTCTCCACAAAAACCTAACCTTTTATACAATTTATCACAAATTAAACAATGAGAACTAAAATATGGTTCCAATTACCTATATCAAAATATAATATAAAATAAGCATTGTAATTTTATATATTTTTGTTAATATGTTGGAAATGTAGAGTGATCGCAACGCTATTCACAATTCACTTCACAATTTTGGTTTTCTTTTGATTATATGGTAATTTCACACCCTGTATCCCTATCAACTCTCGCTACACAACTTCTAAGGTTCTAGATTTACCTGTAACTAAATGATTGTCTTTGGCAAGGAATGTCTCTCTACTTAATTTAATGTCGTCAATGAACTAATTACCTAAATTACCAATATTCAACAAATTTTCCTCGTAAAAACTTCCTTACAGACTACTAATAAAAAATGTGCAATTAAGTTGGATTGCTACATGCTTTTTTTGACATTCCTCATTCTAAGGAAATCATCGTTCTCCGATCTGTTAAGTGAGTAAGTAGTCCCCTTCATAACTTAACACGTCGTTTGAATTTTGAAATAACATTATCTCATTTTTATGTGTGATAGATATACATAAAAATTTATCTTTTTATTTTTTTATTTTTTTCATTCATAAGGGGCTTTCATTCCTACTAACTCTCCTGAGTCCTGACGAAGGCCCTCAGGTCGAAACGTCAATGTTTGACAAAAAACAAATCTGCGAACTCAATGAAGTATTCAACTTCATCGATCAAGATTGTGATGGATTTATAGACAAGGATGATCTATTTGAAACACTGCTCGCGTTTGGAGAAGATGAAAGAACAGAGGAAGATTTGGAACATATGATCAGGGAAGCGCCATCGTATATCAATCTCACAATGTTTCTCACTCTTTTCGGGAGTAAATTGAATGGGACAGACCCGGACGAGATTTTCGAAAGTGCATTCCGTTGTTTCGATGCAGAGGGAACTGGTCGGATTCATGTGGAAACATTGAGGAAACTTCTTACAGAAATAAATAAAATTCTAAATGGACATCTGATCTCGAATTATAACTAACGATACTATACAGTACGATTACTTTAATCGGTAAAGAAACGTTACTTCTTGATATATAACGCATTGTTAAGACCGAAAAACGGTAATAAATTCTTAATCAATGGATAAAACAATAGATAATTTATCTTATTACTCAAAATATGTTTCAGACCAGATAAAGGATAAAATGGAAGTAACGACACCTCCGAGTCCACCTGAATGTGTACAGGACAGTACACTCACAGAAAAGGTTTTGTTGAAACCATATCCTGCATGATCTTTGTTCGATTTACCAACGCTCTAAACGTTTTAGTATAAACAGTATAAAAAATCCATTCATTCCTTGATGTAGGTTGAGAGGTATTGGGACTTGCGCAAGGGACATCAGCTACATCACATTGTATCACACATCAACGGAACGCCGTTAATGTATTACGACATCAAGCTGCTTGACCAAGCGCCTTCCGACTATGAAAAAACATTGCTTGAACAATACGCAACCAAACATGGAGAAACGTATAACGAAGGATGGCTAAATGATAAGGTAATCACTGGTGTAATTGATATAGTATTCCGAGAACCCACATAGCTACAGTAACTCACATCATGAATAAACATGTATTTTTCCATTGAAATTTAGATAATAAACAATTTTCTAATCGACGTACAAAGAAAATCTCAGGTAGGGGAAAGTAAACTATTGTCTATACTGAAACTAGAATAACAACTGCAGATAGTGTTCTTAACAGTTTATTATATGAACAAGGGTAGTTTACTGGGAACTAAAACACTAGTGGAACGCTCATACGCCACTACATCAGGGACCAGGTGCGCGTATTTTTCGTATGTCACGCTGAGGATTGAGGAATAACATTTAAAATATTTTTCGCTTAAATCCATATAATAAACAGAACATTATACGGTTCGCTTGAAGATATGGCACTCGTTCGGTGCGCTCACTCGTGAGATTGTTTTTGCTACTCGAACATAAAATCCGTGCTATATCCTCTATATTTAAATAAGATCACTTGGTATTCCTTATTTTGTGATATATATTAATCAGCTAAATATTTACTTTCATGGGTACCAATCGTGTTAGCAGTCATGAGCAGCTTCATGTACACAAAACTATGTAAATATGGCGTCCATTCCATAACGAAATGGATTCAAAAGGTATGGATTCGTTTCTTTCAAAATAATGCTTTATACTGTATGTTGCTCAACGCTGATTTCTGTGTGGGATCTTTCAGAACCCATTCTTTAAAGCAGACCTGTGCTTCATACCAATAAATTGGGACAATAATCACTGGAGTCTTGGGGTAAGTCATTTTTTAAATGCGAGTATAATAGCAAAAAACCCAGGGTTTTTTATAATTTTGTAATGGAAAGTAGTAAACATAAAGACTTCATTTAAAAACAAGTGCCTTTTGAGCTGCGATAGAACCGCATAGAACCTGCGATAGAATACAATATACATACAGTATATGCCTCTGTTTCAAAAATTTAGAAAACGAATATTTTATTTAGTCAGGTTCCTAAAAAAATAAATTCAACTCAATAAATTTACGTTTTAGGCAATACTTTTCACTTCTGGACTGTTGTTCTAAATAAATCCTTATAGGTAGTGGACTTTACTTCATGTACCATATTTCTTTATGACCCTATGGCTATGGCAATGTTAAGAGAAGAGAGAAGCTTCCACAAAAAAATTAGGTAGGCCTTCAATGGACAGATAAATTAGGTGTTAAAAAATGTTTTGACATGGATGTATTACTTAACATTCACTCAACTTATAGATTACTGATAGCACACCTTCAGGCAATATGCCCAGAAATGAGTCCACCAGATGTTAAATATTTTGATAACTCCACAAAATTTGAACCCAGACAACTTGATGGAAGTTCATGTGGGGTTTTTGTATGCATGGTAAGTGAAAAATACATTTGATATAAATTATCTAATATATTATAGTTATGTTTTTCCCATTGCTTCAATTACTGTAATGTCTAGCGGCATATTTTGTTGTTAGGTAGCTGATTATATGGTCAATGGTTTGGATGTGAACTTTACACAGGTAATTATATCGAAGTACAATTTCTGGTAACTACATTATTTAAACCACAGAAAAACCCCTGCTGTATTTTAATATGTTTAAATTTATGATAAATCATATTGCATTTTTTACCTAAAGGAAGACATACCATGTTTAAGAAAATACATGGCTGTTCGCCTAGCAAATCCTGAAAAAAACGTCCAAATACCAATAAGGTCAGTTAAATGGATGTCACTTAAAATCTATTGTTGACATAATGGAATTTGTTGAGAACTATTCTCACTAACACATACTCTAAATTTTGGGTAGCTAGTAAAAGACAATTCATTTACAAGTACCAATTGCTTTTAGGAAACAAACTGAACATTGCAATGAGGATGACCATGCCACATACACACTTAAAGCAAAGGTTAGAAATATTCTGTCTCTATCAGATGATGGCTTAGAGTCTGTCTTTAAAGAAGTATTAAAGGAAGGTGATAAAGGATTCTTAACAATTAGCTTGGTTTGTAAGCGATTTAGACAGATAGTGGGAAGAGACTCTTTTAGACGCACCACTCACTTCGCCTGGTTAAACAGTGTGTGGGAATGGAATTCATCATCAAAAGAATTCAAAGAGGAGAATTACAAAATGTATGAAATAAAAACTTGTTTTCAATGTGGCATGTCATTTAAAGAAATGTATGGCTTTATTGGAAATGGTAAATTTGGCGAGTTCAGAAAATTTTACTCAACTCTTGAATATCCAGGATTCTGCAGTAAAGAGTGCATTAAAGAAAGCTAATTAATAAAGTTGGAAGTAATTACATCAGGACTATATATGGCATAAACCTTTAAGAAAACATCATGTTTCATAATATCTGTTGAACATAATACCAGGCTGATATTTTCACAGATAGCTGCCACTGTTAAGCCGGTTTTCCACTAGCAATATTTTTGCGAAGCGACTTTATTCCTTTGTATTTGAGCAATTTGTTCCAGATGGTTGCAGTTAAGAGCTCTGGAACAAATGTAAAATGTCGATTCGCACGAATAATATCGCTAGTGGAAAACCGGCTTTAGACACCCTTGATGGTCATTGTGTACATAATATACTGACAACTCCACAAATTTATCAGAATCTTCTTTCACCTATGTCCTTATGAAACATTTCAATTGGACTTTGCTAAAGCCCAAGGGAAATTTTCATTGTCTTTGAAAATATCAACTTAAAATTTGTTTGTAAATATATGCTAGTATTTAGTTGAACATTGTTGTCCATTTATAATATTCACATCTATATAAATCACATGTAAAATATTCACAATTATATAGTTTTAATATATATTTTTTACTTACACGATCTGCGCTGTATTTTTCCTTAGTAGTCTCAGACATTTTCTATTGGCAATGCTTAAACTCCCAATCCTTCCTTAAGCCAACTTGTCATATAGATCTCACTTTTTAAATATCTTTAAAATGGTCCGACATGTTGAATTAGAAAACAGATTTTTACTCAATAATGGCGGCATTGCATATCACTCCTCTATGTATCACTCCATATATGGCCGGGGCTCTCTCGTGTAATTGGGTCTTCTCGTGCGGGTCTTCTCCGGTAATTGACACTGCCAAACCCTGCTCCGCGCAGTCGCGCTTACTGTACTTAGTGTATGTTTTAAGTTTTAACCTAAGCCATTCCGCTTGGAAGATACAAAACAATAGACGCATAATTGTAAGAAACATTAATAAAACAACATGATATATAAGATTCATTACGGATGCCACTTTAGTAATTTTGGTTCTACTTCGTGAAAAAGTAGACCAGTTTTGTTTAATATAGTGTTCTTAATTATCTATTGATTTTCTAAAGTAGAAGGTGGGCTGAGCCCCCCAGATTTTGAAGAAGAGGGGCTCCGCCCCCAAGCGCCCCCCCACTTCTACAGCACTGGATGATAGTGACGAAGAAGATGATGATGTAGATGATGAGGAAGTCGATAGTCGATTTCGTTGATGATAACATCAATGTTGATAACACGTTTATCATATGAACATTTGGATAATTTATGACTTCTATGGCCTTCAAAATATATATGCAATAATATGCCACTTCACAGTGGAGTCACTTCAGTTATAGCTGACATGGGAAAGGATACAATCGTGATACAATGTAGCTATAACAACGGAACGTCTTTAAGTGGTGGTGGCGTGTGGTGTATTTATATTGAAGTAGTTTCTATTGAAAGTGATTATTTTAACGACCTATTAACATGAATATAATTATGAACATTAGCCCTCCACGTTCCGGCGTCCCTGTATATATTGGTTACTGAGTTTCATCTCTCATGCTAGGTTTGGTAAGTTAACCAATTTGAGATATTATTACTTATATATCATGAAGTTCCTTTAAAGTAGATATTTTTATTGGCGTCCCCCTTCAAGATAAACTACTATTTTAAGTTGATATATATAGTCATATGTATAGCACTTATATAATATAGTCCAACAAGTCGAAGCATGTATAAATTTACCTTGAAAACTTGGATATACTATTAGTAAGCGTGCACACCAATGTGTTACTACTATATACATTTGACAAGGTCAGCGGTGAGGGTTGTCCTGGTTTAGGACGAATATTTTGACAAAGTTCGTTGTGGTCAGAACGAAGTTTTCAAATCTTGAATAGTTCTTGTATGGAATATAAATGTTGTTTGAGGTGTTTAAACAGTAAAGAAGCATATCTTCCACTTCCAAAAGCATCTTTCGAAAACATTGCTAAAATAGCCATCTCGTATTCAGCTCTGTTCATGTTTACAAAATTAGTACCGTGTTCGTAGTCGTATAACTTTGACAGAACTGCTAAATTCAAATATCCCGCTGCACGAAGCACCTCCCAAAATTTTTGCTGTTCTTCAGATCACTATAAAACAGTCACTTTTGCTAAAAACCATGGCAAACTATATATCACCGAGAAGCTTATAACTCATAGAAAATGAATATCTAATCTATAAATTTAATTTATACAATGTAACCTGACACCACTCGCCACATGCTGCGAGTAAGCAAGTTGCCTTTAAGAAAAGATATCTCTTGATCTATTCAACTAACTCATGTTTTTTTAGTGTTAAACAAGAGCTTATATAAATGTTTCTGGGATAACCATAGAACTTTTCAATTGCACAAATGCTTTTGACAAAATGACGTTCCATTCTTCATCCCTAAAATGCTAACATGTTCCTGGCCATAACTTCCTCAAAACTTATGCATAGAGAAAGTTCTATGCTCATCCCAGGTATCACTCACAGTACTAGTATCTATCTGTGAAATTTTATGCAAATCGGATAAATACAAAAGAAGATATTCTTTCTTGACTGCAAAAAAGTCCGATTCCGGCAAATCAGCTTTAAAAACAACGAACACTAAAAAAAAATGAATTATCAGTACTACTGAGATATGTCACTATACTTCCTTCATTAGTACAAATGGTTATCTCCAAACCCCCCCAGCTTCATATGTCACCCCCTCAGCCTCACGCAGTGCTTCCGCTCTCCTTGTCCGAAGGAGTGCCCTTCCTTGGCGGCGTTTCTTGTTTTTCTTAGTTGCTTCACCATCTGATTTTCTCAATCTCTTCTTATCTTGTACATATGAAGCTTTGAGTGTATGTTGCCCAGCTGCTGTTCTGAGTCTTTTCATGACCCTCACTCTGCTGGCAGCACCACTGTTGAAATGGCAAACAGCTGATGCTACACCACAGCGGATTACTTTCACACAATGATGCTTGTGCTTTGGACACTGACTCCAAACCAGTGAGTTGATACTTTCATTTGCATTCTGCGTGGTTTCTCTGACACATTTTCTCAGTAGTTTGGTATCACTCAATGTTAAGAAAGTTGGACGAAGGACCTCATGAAATACTGGTGATAACAGATCATTCTCTTTGTAGGTCGTGGTGCCTGTTGCTTCATCCTGTTGCTACTTGCACCATGATTGGGCACCTGGTGGACAAAACCGATGCTGCTTAGTTGCATCTTCAGATTGTACACAGCGACGCAATATTGCAATTATGTTCTTTTTCATTTACATATTAGGAAAAAAAATGTGTGACAAAATATTTCACACAATTCATCACATAGTAAAATATCAATACAAAACTTACCCTCACATGCATGCAATGTGAATACAGCTGATGAAAGTTCTTTCATGCATGTTTAGAAGGCGATATGAATGTTCGCTAAATTCAACAAGTTCACCAGAAACGAGACTGGAGTTGTGCGATTCATGCAATCTCATTTTTTTACTCGAAGCTCCAACACACGTTGTCTGAAACGCGCTTGAATCTTCCCTTGACGAGTCGTCAATTACTAACTCTCCCCTGTTAATTTGAGCGTATTCGCTCTGACTTTGCTCTGAGGAGTACCTCTGAGTACCCAGAGAACCTTTTACCTTTACGTTTACGCCTATAATAACTTCTTTTTTTCTATGACCATGATAAACACAGAATTTAAAAGGCACTTCCTATGTTATTCTATATTACACGCCCAAAAACGCTCAAGTTGATACAAACAGGATGGAGCAATGTTGTGCTGCCCACATTGTTCAGAGTTGTTATCAACATTCAACAATATTGTTGAAATTGAATCGGGTGTAACGATATTATTCAATATTGATAACAACTCTGGACAATGTGGGCAGCACAACATTGCTCCATCCTGTTTATATCAACTTGCATCAACCTAAACGTTTTTCCGCGTGTATAAGGCCTCACGCAAATAAAAATGCCCCATGGTCAGCGAAAATGAACTATGCCGCGCCGTACTTCATGTTTGCAACGTACAAAGTCGTTTCCCCGGGTTTGGTAACAAAAACGGTGCAGTAAACAACAAAAAACAACAAAAACAATGTTTGGTAATCATGGCAACCACGCTAAAATTTTTCCCCATGATTTTCAAACGTGAAATAAACAATGAAAAACATTAGAAAAAGCCATTTTATGTTTATAATCACTTTAAACAAATAGTTAAAGTGCAGGAATCTCGAAAACAAAATCACTTTTTTTCAAATTTTTGGGGTTGACCCCCGCCTTACGAAGACTACTATTCCCAGTCTACTTCGGCCGAAACACGTCTTCGTCTTCGTACTTCGTTTCCTTGCTCAAACTCGCAAATATCTCAGAATCAACAGCAGAACCCCGCTAAATGAGCTTTAGGTCACAAAAGTCACAAGGCTTGAGACAAGCCTCTTAAAAAATAGTAAAGTTTTCATATCGTTCATTGGAGTAGCAATCGCGGCAAATTATAACGGACCTACTAATAGTTATATTTTAGCGTTTCAGTAATTTATATTGTACAGTTTACTATAACCTCACGAGCCTATAGTTTGATATGTAATGTGCAAATTTCGGCGGAAGTAGAATGCTAATTTTGCCCGGATTTTCTGCCCATTCTATGAGATCACGCGTCCAGCATATTTGTGCAGTTCAACACCATTGATATCGCACAAGTTGACTAAGGATTGTCAGATTAAAGAGATTTATTTTTAATCTATTCCACTGCGCTTGCTCTATGCCTTATCAGCATTGTTAAAAACATTGGGAACATTTGGCTAAATATTATAGTGTAGAATGGTATGCTTAGCACAGTGTCAATTTGACCCATTAGATTAACCAACCACGATCTCAACAGATTTGAGAAATTTAGGGGTCAATCAATCAATCAATCAATAAACTTTATTTGCAGAGGGTTAAAAATATTACATAGCTAATATACCTGGTAAGTCAAAAGACTTATCTTCCCCAGGGCCCTCACTATTTAGTTAAAAATACAAGTTGAAGTTATTTACAAAAGGTAAAAAATTGTTAATTACTAGTTAAAAAATAATTAGTTAAATATTTCTTCTTAAAATCGTTTAAAGATACACTTTCTCTAATGTTTGAACTTAATGTGTTCCATATCTTTACACTACTATATCCAAACGTGTTCGTATATATCTGTTTATGTTTTCCTGGAGGCAAATACAGATCATTTGCAGAGCTTGATCGGGTTGTCCTTGTATGAACTTGTCTGACAAACCTAAACATATTTGTCATATAATCCGGACTTAAATAATTTAGACTTTTATAGACCATAATAGCTTTACGATACTTAATACGATCCTCGATAGGCATCCAATTTTCAGCGGAAACTGGCAAAGGTTGCAATACTGTTTCCACAGTTTTCATCGTCATTCCAATTTATTAAAAAACCTATAAAACAAAATATATTTTATTACAATATTTCTTGGAAAAGTTGATGATAGTGTTGTGATGATAAATGATGATGGATGATAGATAATAGTGGTCAACTCTATTATCTATCATCCATCATCATTTATCATCACAACACTATCATCAACTTTTCCAAGAAATATTGTAATAAAATATATTTTGTTTTATAGGTTTTTTAATAAATTGGAATGACGATGAAAACTGTGGAAACAGTATTGCAACCTTTGCCAGTTTCCGCTGAAGATTTTAACGAGGAACTCAAATCATTTCAAAACCTCGATCAGGACGCCGTGCCACCACCACCCCGAGTAAAACTTTATCACAGCTTACTTTCAAGTGTAAACATCAAACGCTATTTAATTATGCGATGATT